GCAGGAGACCTGGGGAGTGAAAGTCTAAGGTTTAAACTTTGCACAAGTCAGTCGTCAGCTCCGCACCCACCCGTGTGGGAGGACATTCCTTGTAAACACACGCGTGCACACACGCTCACACACACTCACACGTGCACACCACGGCCACTGATCTCTGGTCTCGGTGCTGCCAAAGTATCCCTGGTTTATGACGAAGGACTTTTGCATCCAAGCAGAAATTCAGGTGTTTTAGCCTATTTTCTCCTGTTCCATCTGTACCTCTTTTCACTACAGATACGGGAAATGAGCCTCTGAAGGCATCCAGCAAGCACAGCTGGTGGGGCTGAGTTCTACTGAGGACCTAATAGTCATTCGAAATGAAAAGCTGAGGAAAAACCTTCCAATAACCCAAAGACAGTATCCTGGGCTCTTGAATGGGGATCAGGTAGAGAAGGTGTTAGGTCTCCTCAGGACCCTCTGGTCCTGAACCCTGAATCTGCCCGAGTTAGAGTGTTACCACTTAGCGCCCACAGCGCTTTATACAGAGGATCTGTTACCTAAACAATAAACCTGTGGTTTATAAACGTTTGAAGAAGGGGAATTTGCATCTCTCAAAGCTATTATTTATTTACTTATTAGGTTTTGTTTTATTCATTTCACTGGCATTAGGCAAGTTCTTATCCCTCAGTAATTCAATTGAACATTTCGTGAGCATTTACAAGGTCCCCGGGCCCGCGCTCAAGGAATTTGGGTGTAATTGGAGAGATGGGGACCCAGAGACACGTGGGTCCCACGCAGGGCTCAGCGAGAGCAGGGAGAGCTTGTCAGAGGGGATGGGGTGTTGCTGGACTTGAGCTGGGTGGGGAGCAGAAGAGAAGGAAAAGCCAGCTTTATACCAGTTTGGCCGGAGAGAACGGTGCTTTGGGCTCCTAACAGACCCAAGAATCAGCCCGGCACCCAGTGGTCTCACCAAGTGCCAGAGGCCCACCCAGGACAACAGCGTCAAGGCACAGACATCGACAGGGCCTCCGCTCCTTGCAGGGTCCCGGCCGAGTCCGGGGGGAGCTGGTTTGTTGGCCTCCTCGGTGGTGGGACTGCTGGCGTCTCCCACAATATCCGGGCCTTCCTGCTGCTGCGAGCAGGGGCAGGAGGTGTCGGGCGAGACCGTTTGCCAACCTGTTGCTCCCCCTGCGACCTCTGGGCAGACCCCGTGTCCCGCAGGCAAGGTGACAGAGATCTGGGGTTCATTCGGCCATCGCCCAGGGCACCGGCTTTCCGGACAGAGCAGACCATGCCCCCTGAGCACAGTCCCCATAACGCGCTGTGATTTCCACGGGCTGCACCTCCTGCCTTTGACGGCAGGTGACAGCCTTCCGCGCCCCTCAAACGGCTCAGCCTTTGGGGACCCGCAGTGCCCAGCCCTTAGAGGGGGAAGCGCCAGACGTGAAAGCCCCCGGGAACCGGCTGGGATGGAGGGAGACCCCGAGGCGACGGGGCCGGAGCCATCGTTCCTCCTGAATTTTCTTCTCGGGGAAACATGGATGTTGGATTTGGAGGCTCGGGGCTGTGGTTCCCTCTAGGAATTAGATGTGGGGGCAGAGTAAGGCGTGTGTTCCAGCGAAGGCTGGGTCACCCTGTGAGGTGCCGGCCCAGGGGCCAAGGGGCTGCAGGTGGCAGGCCCTGGGGTGCCTCTCTGCACCCCTTCCCCGTAGGGGGCCCGAGAAACGTCTGGCTTCAGTGCTCTGAGAAGACCTGTCCTTTTTCACCTCTAAATAACGGTGTCAGCAATCTGGGTCATTTTTTAAAATATGCCTTTATTGATGCTTCTCTTCTTAATAGCTCCATTCGGGCTGATTGAAGCCATCCGTCTCCCCGCTCCGGCGCTGCCCCACTTCAGAGCCGCCCGCACATGCGCTGGTGCCCAGGCTGCCTGGGGCAGGGGGCCCAGAGCAAACGGGGTCGTGGAGGGAGGTACAAAGCCAGGGCCCCAGAGGCCCCTCTGGCTGCTCATGGGCCGCAGGGCAGGGGGCCTAGGACCCCCAGGAGCTCATTCACCTCTCGTCTGTCCTCCACCCACCACCCTGCACCTGCAGCTCCCCACGTTGACCCTCGGAAGAGACCAGCCCACAGTCTCGGAGGAGACCAAAGAGTTGGACAAGGACAGGTGGAGGCCATGCGTCCCCTGGACGTGACCCTGGCTCTTCATGGGGTGTCCGCAGGTCCTGAGGTTATCTAGGGGTCACGAGGTTCCGTGAGGCTGGCTGTGGGGTGGGTATCTGGGGTCAGGAGGTCTGTAGTTCCATCCATCAGAGGTCCTGGTGCTGCTGGACGCCTCACCCCTTGCCTGTGGCCCAGAGGAAAGGACACTCAAACTAAATAGGGGCCCAGGAAGCCTCCGAGGCTCATGGGTGCCTTGAGTCATCAGAGATGTGTGGCCTGGAGGACTGCACTTTCCATGAGCTTAAATGTTCACAAAATGTAGGGCACGAGGGGGCTTCCCTGGTGGCGCAGCGGTGGAGAGTCCGCCTGCCGACGCAGGGGACGCGGGTTCGTGCCCCGGTCCGGGAAGATCCCACATGCCGCGGAG